TTAGTTAAAATCAGTTAGAATAACAACTTCTAGTACATAGAAAAGCCAGTGCATTTTGATAACACTACGTTCCAGCAATGACTTTTATGTCATGTTGCTTAGCAACAAAAGTATAACCTAATATTGTTGTTAGTCTATGTACCGAAAGTATAAATGAAATGTATAGACAGCAAAACTGGAAAACTATTTGTTGACTAGCTGGAGTACTCGTCCCCTGGGAAGTTATGTAAATTCATGAATAATGAAAAGTTATCTTAGGACATGAAAAGTTGCTTCCCTTATATGTAATTGTAAAAAAACGAATAAAACGTCCTTAAAAACTGCAAAACACAAAATGTGAACTCGCAAATTTGCATGTATTTCCGCATGGACTCAACAAATAATCATGCCAAATTTGGTGAAGGTCCATCAACAGGGGGCGAAGTTGTGGTAAAAAACGCCCATAAAAACCGCAAAATTCAAAACTGAAAATTTGTATGTACCCCCGCATGGACCTAATGAACCTCCATACCAATTTTGGTGAAGATCCATTTTAATTGCGAAGTATTTACATGGCCATACAGCAGACAATAGACAGTACTATTATGTTGAAATAGATTTCTCAATTAAGAGTCTCCGTTGATTAAATAGGTTTGTTTTTGTTAAAAACGTTGGCGATACAACAGAAAATAGCTTAATTCAGAAACGATTTATGTTTAAAATTCAATCGATATTTTTACTTTCATGATAAATTTTATGCACTTGGCTCAAGGCTGGTTGATCCCACACTACGTCTTTACTTTAGGCTTATTATACCAACACTCACTACACTTATCAGGTTTCACCACACAGCTACTCAAGGACGCCTTGCACCCCGTTACTAAAATCGTAATGGACAGGCAGCAATCGAACTATTCCATCTGGATAAATGCGTTTTAGCTTTTATGATTCGTCCTATTTCGAGAATCAAGCGTGACGTTACATGACACACACTGGCTTTATATAGGCTAGATTCATTATAAAAAAACATATGATTTCGGCCTATTTTACTGGTAACTTTTCGAGTACTGTAACAGGCAAAAACACAAAATTACTCTATATGATGCAATAAGTGGAGTCTACCAGTAGTGGACGGTATAAAAACAATAAGTGGAGTCTACCAGTAGTGGACGGTATAAAAACAATAAGTGGAGTCTACTAGTAGTGGACGGTATAAAAACAGTTTGGTAATTTGAGAAGTAAAGCTTAACCATCGAAATTCACTGAGATATATATTTTTTGTTTTGTATTATAAACATTTTTACGTTATATAACGTTACTGAGCATTTCCAAGTTATATCATTTTTTTACAACTTATCATAATCACATTTATGTTGGTGTGTGGGCGCGATTGTATACTATATTCCAAATAAAATGAGAAAACATTCATTGAACAAAAGTTAATGAAACTTAGGCTGGCGTAATAATGGAATAAGTTTTAGAATTTAATATTCAGGGATGAAAGATTATGTAATAAACTCCACTCGTCTTACTCTGTAAAACATAACGTCTCCAACTTTTATAGCATAGTTTCATAAACAATGAAAATATATGAGTGTTATATATAACACATAAATATCTTTTAAAATATTCAAAGTCATATAACTATATTGTGGATATAATAGATTTTGGAAGTAAAAGTCGAAGTTTAAAGGCTGTATTGATATTCTAGTCTAAAAGCAATAGTTAGATGGACGGCAATAGTCGCAAATGGGCCATGATCTCCCCCTGTAAATTCAAAATGTTATAAGATTCAAAGAAACCAGAAGTAGGAATGAACGTAAATGATGCGTCTGTTATTCTGTTGTAACTCAACAATAATCCAGAGTGCAAAGCTACTAATGCGGCTAGACACAGTTTACAGAACAAACAAATTAACCCGGATGTATGCAAATAAACAGTCAAACAATTTATATGTAATACAGGTAATATGACAATGTGAGCACGCGTTTCGATTAACTTAACAATGTGAACTCGCTTTTCGTGTAAGGTGACAACGTATGCGCATTTTACCGTAACTTGACAACGTCTGCTCACTTTCCGTGTATCTTGACAAAGTGTACGCGTTTTCTTATGTATCTTGACAACGTGAGCGCGCTTTTTCATATATCTTGACAACCCGAGCGCGCTTTTTCGTGTAACTTGATAATGTGAACACGCTTCTCGTGTTTGACTATGAGAGCGCATTTTCTGAGTAATTTTACGTTTCAGGCGACTTGACAATAACATCACACTTTCCAGGTAACTTGGCAACTTAAGCCTTCTTTTCCCGCAACTTGACAGTTACATCATGCTTTCTGGTTAACTTGACTACAAAACGCGCTTTTCTTCTTCACACGTCATGTAGAGTCGTCAACTTTTTGAAGGCCATAG